ATGAACGACAAGACTTGAAAGTCAATGGGATTTTTCCTTTCATTAATGCAATCTTTTTCCATCCATTCTGTCAGTCATACTAAATGCAACTTCTATTGATATTTGCCATGACCTTGAATCAAGAGCTTGTTTGTTTCTCTCCATTGGACAATCCAGTCATTCTAAAGTCTTATTAATTAAAAATTGGAGTCTGGTGACTCTTTGAGATGAAGGCAGCATTTTAGTCACAATGTGACCTCTTAGTGATTTTTATTGCAAATATAATAAAATTGGGCAAAAATCAAAAAAGCAACGAGAAAAAGAAAAGAAATCTATCCTTTTGGTAGTTCATCAGAAACCAACACGTTTGCAATATATGAAGAGTGTTTAAGCATATATTAATACGGAATTAAGACTCATGCTGAGCAGAATTAAATTATTATAGCAGAATAGAATTACTGATGGCATTCAACATGATTAATGTTGGGAGCATACAGAATGAAATTAAAAGCAATGCTGTTCCCAGACACTATTGTGCCAGACAGAACTGAAACCATGCAAGAGAGAATTTATTATTGTGCCGTATTGAATTAGTATTCACTTATATAAAAGTTAGTTTTTTTTTTTTTCGCTATAGAATCACTTATGTATTTTCAAGTCTTTGTAGAGTAGTTGTCAATTGATCATTTATGTTTACCATCTTTGTCTGAATTGAAAAGGACTTTTTCATAGAGATCTTATAAGAATACAAAAAAATGCAAACATCTCTAATTATCTGTTTGTTATAATAAATCATGCAGGGAAATATATTGTTTAGCATTCCATTTTCAGTAATTTAGCATAAAACCAGATTTTTGTTCTTTTCCTTTTCAAAATATCTTCTTTTAAAGCATAAGGCTATATAACTCTTCTTACTTGCCATGCATAAGTTGACTTGTACTGCATAGAACTGATATATAGCTCAATAGAACTGTTATTGTATTGCATAAAATTGTCAGTTTTTGAAGTGATATTATATTTAACACTTTCCATCTGGAATTGAGCAGATCTGGCCAACCAAGCTTCATATGAATATTTTATGGTACATATTCCATTTTTATAAAAATGACTTAAACCAGATGTTCATAAGTATAAAGGCTTCTACTACAGCCTGAGCATCATCCTATCAGAATATGTCTTTTCTATAAATATTTCCATGGAAATTCTTCTAATGAACTCTTCTCCTTGGCACCCTAACTGCATACTACTAAACTGACAAATAGATCTCATTGTTTTACTGTTGAAATAGCTCAATATAACTAAGGAGGTAGATATATTTTGAAACTTCAAATCTAGGATTTCTTTCCTAATCAGTGGTTCCTATATAAAGATATTTATGCTTGGCTTGCCAATCACAATATTTTGACACAATATGTGTGGTCAGATTTTCTTCAACCATCTGATTTTCATTTCAGAGTTTGATGAAATCCTCTTTATCAGGAATGGTTGCGTATGTCTATATATGAGCAATTATTCCTGACCTTTTGTTCTCCACTGATTAAAGCTTTCCAGTGTTTTCCAAGTTTTTAGAGGCAGCTGGTCTCGCACTTGTATTTCTTGCCACAACTGCATAGAATGCTGTATATACAGTTCTTAGTCATATTTTATTGAAGTGGAGGTTTTGTTTCTTTGAGGAAGCTGCATAAAGTGGAATTGCTTTTAATTACTGTCCTGAACTGCTTATTCTTTGTCTTTTCTCTAATGTATTCTAGAATAACTGAAGCCAGTTTGAATGGGATTATTTTTGCTTCTGTGGTATTATTCTTGCATAGATATTGTTTCTTTGAAGAACCTCCTTAATGTTTCCTCCCTCTCTCATTGGTATGTGTTTTATTTTTCTGTATCACAGCATAGAATAGAGAATTACTCATGTGCCATATTGTAAGGTACTGAGTTGCACACAACATCATAGTGTATAAAATTGATAACGTACAATACAGAATGAATGTAATATATCAGGAAGATAAACTTGTTAGAGTGAATATGTATTTTGATGTATTTTATTATTGATTTGCTGAGAAATATATTAATTCTTTACTAATCTGTTCATGTAGTCCTTTGTCAAATTCATGCACATAATTACTTTTACAGTAGATAATTTTCCCTTGTTCCATTAGTACAGTGTTGTTATGTTCAATATATAAAGTTGTAATGTTTATCAGACTGAAGAGGTGATTCCTTCCATATATACAAATATTTGTTACTTAAATTTGGATCTAAAAAAGCAACCTAAAAGAGAAGTAAAACTTTAAAGCATTAATAGATGATCTATATACTTGAGGAAGGGGCACTTTGACATAGTGTAATGCTTAATAAGCTTGTCTGAGTATTGAGTTCTATACTCACTGAGTGCTCCATACTTTCAGCATTGTGCCACATCTAAGCTATGCTTAGTAAATCACTATACATATGTGAAAGGCTGAAGAACATAGCATTGTGATAAAAAAACATAAAAGATGGAGATACAAGTCAGAAAAATTTATAGAAGAAAAAATTTAGGATTCAAGAAAGTTTCTGAGGCAAATTTATCTTTCTCTTAATAGTTTTTAATCAGAAATTGGAACTATTTCCTCATTACTCTTCATAAAGAAGACAAAATGTTAGCAATTAAAAGTGTTCGTTTTAGAAAAAAATAAAAAAAGATTAGATTAATCCAAGCTAATCCTGAGATCATAATGCAGACAATACAGAACTTTATAAAAATAACAGTCTTAAAAATTGATAAATTATGAAAATACCTCAATAAATGCAGAAATGATAAATGCTTAACTTCTTCAAAACATTGTGATTTGGGGAACAATGAAACTGAGAATGTTAGTCCAAGAAATTTAGTAAGCAACAATAATGAATCAGCTTAAAAAAAAATTTAAAAAAATGATGGCCATTACAAATAGCAGTAATACTTTATTTTTCATGTCTTTCATCTGAAGTATCCCAGAATATGTGCTGGGACTTTTCATAAAAAACAGCAATCAGTTAAAATAATTATTTTCTTTTTCATTTTAGATTTACAGAGGAAAGCTACCATAACATCAACAGCATCAGTTGGAAATAATTTTGGTCCAAAATAAAATGCGATTCATCAAAACAAAATGAAGAAAAAGATTTTTTTCAAAATTATCCAACTTGAAATAAATCGTTTGCTCTTCATTTTACAAGAGACGTTTACTAGAAATAAGAATCTTAAAAACAAAACTACAAGCTCATCAACTAAAGAGTAGTTGAGCTAATTATTAAGATTAGAGATTTAATGGTCATTCAATAAAAAGCAAAGCCAAAAACAATGAAAAACTGTAATTTTAAAAATTCTCTTGCCAATTAGTAAATTTATATATCACTAATCAACTAACTGGAAATGAAATTTCATCACCGATTTTTACTCACTTGAACTTTTTTTTTAAGTTTATGTTAATTGCACAGAATATTTCACACATCTTTATTTTTTAGCATTTGGTGTTTTATGAGAAAAGTCAGTCAAAAGGAGTGGCAGCACACTCTACATCACTTGAAGATAAAAGAAAATAAATTAAAAAAAAAAAACGTAAATTAAAGTCAGTATTGTTTTACAGGCCAGGTTTACAGTGGATATTTTATTTTCTTGAAAGTACTTGGAATTCTTCACAAATTGCCTTCTAAAAATTTTGAGAATGAACTCAAGTCTTTGGCTATCAAAAGACCTATTTTCCTTTTAAGTGGTACTCAAGAAGTTGATAAGCAATATTCTAATTTGAGAAGAAAAATCAAGCAATGACAAAAGACACTAAGGCATATCAAATGTAATGAACAGGGAGAAATTACTTTAGATTGCATTTGGTTCAGCACTTAAGTGCTTCACATCATAAATGACCATTAAGATAAATAACTAAAATTTAGTATACACCAGCAGTGCACTTGATCACTGTAATGAAATCCTGTTAAGAATGTAAACAATTTCTACTATTATCAACATCCATTGCATAGTTTTTCAGACTAATTAGGAAGAAGCAATGCTGGATCAATTCAGTAGTTGTTTTTTCTTGGAGAATACTCCCTTTACAATTTTCCAGTTTTTCAAGGTTTATCATTGGATACTTTTTGAAGGGATCACATACAGCTAGCATTCGTTTTCAGACTTAAGGAATTTAGAAATTAAGCAGAATAATTCATGTTTATGTTAATTCAAAGAAGAATGGAAATGTTATTGCCCTAATTAATTTATTTCCCTGAGACTTGATAAATTATCTTGGTTATTTTGGAAAGTGAAATACACTTTCCTTATATTTTTTTAAATTGGGATTTCTTGAACATCAAATATTCTAACTTATTCATACAACTAATGACCATGCAGAAAACTTTGTTTATTTAAGAAAAAATGTTTCTCAATTGAAAAATATAAGTGTAGTGTGTGTGTGCTGAGATGTGGTGTTTATGTGTGATGATGGTTATTGTAGATGTATGAGTACATTAACTGATGCTTAGCATGCATGTATGTTGATCTGTAATAATATGTGTGTTTGTGTATGCTGATGTGGAGTGTGTGTGTATGTGTGCGCGCACATATATGCTGATGTAAAGTGTGTGCATGTATGCTGAGGTATGTGTGTAAGTGTCTATATGTTGAAAACTATAATTTTCAAAATATACAAGAGATTTGCATAACTAATCTCCATTTAAAAATGCATTTTCAAAATGTTAGTATATCTATTAAACTTACCTTTTGATTGATTGATTTGTTTTGTTTTGTATAGCATGGTTTATCAACCCTTTGCAGGTTATTTAAAGCCAGAAATATTCTTAGATTTTAAGAATTTTTTTGAGATAATAATGATTTAGTGATACAAGTCTTACTAATTAACTCATAGCTGGAGGAGAAGAGGTGAATTCATACCTTTCCCAAGGGTATTTGTGCATAAGTAAATAAAGCAACCCCAACTGGGGCTGGAATTCAGTCCTCTGATTAAGAATTCTTAGCCATTATCCATTACATCATGTGCACATCCAAGCTTACAGCACCTTGTGTTCCCAAGCGATCACCAATCTAGGTACTGACCAGGCATGATGTTGCTTAACTTCAGTGATCATATGGGAACTAGTGTTTCAACTTGATATGGTCATAAACCCAAATTTATCTTTGTATGGTACAGGGCTAAGTGGAGGGGAGAAGTGCCAAAAAAACTGTTAAACTCATGTTTTGTGAATAGAGTACCAGTTTAGAAAATCAGTATTTATAATCCTGGTTGAAATGGTAATATCAAATGCATATAAACATTTATTTAGAGGTATGAAAATTATGCTTTATAAAATTTTGAAAATATATTTTAAAATAGCACTTAAATATCCCATATATTATACTGCACATTTGTATAATACAACTAATTAGTTAAACATGTTCTATTAAATAAACAGAGAATGTCTGCTGTGCCTTTTAGGGAGTTTCTCTTGGTGTTGAATAAGTTGTTTGATGTTGGAACATAGAATATTACACACAATTTTAACAAGTGACCACCTAAGATTAATGTATAGAACACACACACATGAATGCATACATATATACACGTAAATAGAGTATATTTATACAGAAATCTTTCATTTAAACATGTTATTAAATAGAATAGACAAGGAATGAATGCTTGTGTTGAGTAAGTTATTTGATATCAGGTAAAAACTTGTAAAGGAACTTGTTGAAATAACATCTTCTGTTGTAAATACTTTCAATTGTTGAATGAAGTAAGTCAAGAAATATCAATTGTGGCATTTATGTTGTCAAAAGTCCAAAGTTTGATATAAATATGGCTACACATGCTATAACTGTGGAACAGATTTTAAAGTCAAGTGAATTACTACTGATAGTGTGCTGCTGTCCTTTGATGTAAAGGGGTTCCACAATTCTTAATCATTTTTTTAAGTTGTAGTTACATAGTACTGTTGTATTTTCAATCAAAATCTAATGGGAATTGGGAAGGACAGTATGGAGTTTTGTTATATCTTAACATATAGCACTTAGCTCAGCAAGATAACAGATCAATCGTCTTTTAAGAAATGTTGTCCTATAACCCATATAAGTTGATGTTTTCTTTATTATCCACTGAGATACAGACTTCCAAAAACAATACAATTGATACACAATCATTAATCTTTGGCAGAATAGTTTTTTGTTACATACAACAAGGTTGAGAGACTGGGATATTTTATAGCTTATAATAGATCAAAATTGGTGTTTACAATCTGCAGGAGTTATATATGTATGGACTTTATTTTATATTGCTTTGTTTATATAACTGAAAGATTTTTATTATACTTTTCTACCAATGATCAGAGTGTATAATCTGTGTTCAATCCCTGGTTATTCTGAACTGGAATCAGTTACACTTTCTGATTGACAAACCTACATACACTCAGTCCATTATATTCACAGGTATCACATCACAGATATTTAACCATTTAAAAATATTTGAAAGCATTTCTAAAAAATTTCCGCATGAACGGAACTTGAATTTGCTGTATAACAAGCACTATTCACATCAATAAAATTATTTGTTTAACATTCCATCATTTTACAAATTCACCACCAATTCTTTGAACACTGTTTCTCTTATTATTCATTTGCAATATATGTTGTGTCCAACTTTAGTTTATTTTCTACAACATTTGGAATGGAAACTTGTATTAAAACATTTCATCCATTCTTCAATAAATAGCAAAAGCCTGATTAAAATCCAATGTTTATTATAATTTGTGGTAGAATTTTAAAATTTAGGTGCTTTTTTTTTTCTTTATTACACTTAAAATATCATCAGTTTTACATAATTTTTTATCTCAGAAATGTTTTTATTCTTTATTGTTATTTTCTTTTTACTTAATGACAAAGATTTTGATAGAATTACTTTATTACGATTTTGGGTAAGTTTCCCTCCACATACACATACACATACATGTCAATTTGTTGCAGAAATGTTTTATTCAAACTGACAGTATAAAATACTATTTACATAGCATTTACCTTCATTAGGTATTCTAAGCAATACCATTTTATACCCTATGTATTTTATAATGCAATTCAATATTTTTAACCCCAAAAAGTTGGTAATGCTTTCAGGATATATGTATCATATAAATATACAATAGGAATTTCAAGTTATAAATTTTACAATCTAAAAAAAAAAATTGAAAAGATCAGTAAAATGAGAACAAGAAAAAACCTGACTTCAAAAATGTCACAAAAAGGGATTTCAGAAAAATTAAAAGGGATATGTTGTTCATCTAAATATATCTTGAAAGGATTCCAATATTGGTTGGTTAATACCAATTTTATGCTGAAAACATTAACTTGCTTAATGAAATTCGACAGTAATTGAAGTGACTTACACATGCTGAATTTTTAGCACCTGTTAAGGTAGGGGGGGGCTGGAAACCAATTTACCATGTACACCAAGTGTCAACTGGACAAAACTTAAGCCGAAAAGAATTGGGAAACATAAGGGAGATAAAGAACGAGAAAATAGGATGTGAAAGAGGAAATTTGATGTTGAGAAAACTGGAAACCACACCCACAAAAAAAATCCAACAATACCAAATAGCTCTAATATAAATAAAATAATCCAACATACAGGCAGCCAGACATTCTCTTGAGTCTGGACATTGGGAGGTTATAAACTAATGTAATTTAAATTGATTTCTGATTCCCACTCATCCTCAAAGATCCCAAGGCATTTTCTCACACAAAGACTTTTGGCTTTCTTTCATTCTAACCTCAGTGAAATGCATTGTTAATAAACATTCCACTTTTCTCATCATCTTCACCTTTGTTTTTTATACTATTATGCATCCTATAAATACATATAAACAAATAAATTCACAAAATGAGTCAGGCTTACTCAAAACTGTGATAGATTCAAACTTTTTATAGAGTGATGAAGCAAAAGAAAGATAAAAGATTGTAACAGAAAATATGGGCAAAAATTTTATTTTTTTCACATATGAAACTAATCCATATTTGTATAATGTTTAGATAAAAAGAAAGCATAAATAAGCAATAAAGATTTAAAAAGAACAAGATCCCAGGAAACAGTGAGAAAAAAGCAGGGCCCTAAATATTATTAGTTGCATGGAACCATCTAGTTTGAAATGATTATAGATTACTTGTTTTCAAACCTGCTATTACATCATTACATCAATCATTTATGTGCCATGTGTGATACATGCTTAGGCAATCATATATCTTTCAATACATAACTGATGAGACAGATTTTTTCCCACAGTAGGTTGCCATTTCTTTCTGTGGTAGACCAGTTGCCATCCAAGGCTATAGAACCTGGTCTGTCCTGCTATTTACCCATAACTGGACAAGAGGAGGATTCATACTTTTCCTAAGGGTATTAGCATGTAAGTGAATGTGAATCTGAGCTGCTATCCAATGTTAAAAATCTAGTTTGGCCATTTTTATTTGTTTGCATATTTTCTCTGATGGCAATTGTATTATGTTGCTTAGAATTAGTGAAAAATCATTATTAGCAAATACAATGAAAGTCTATGCTTGTACTGCCTATCAGTAGATAGGTTGGTATCATTTTGATGCACACCGTGTTGCATATTTATAGCTACAAGCTGATCAGAAATCTTCTATCTATGGCAGACTTTAATATGTATAAGTATCAAGTGGCAACTAGTTCTCACCATTTTACTGTTGAAATAGCAAGCTCCAACAGTTTCTTTACAAACAATTCCCACCTGTGAAACTCCCTTCTGATTTTTTGCTTTCCTGTCATCTACAATTTTCAAGAATTTAAATGCAATGTCAATCTTCCATCTTCCTGACCCCTGTTTCTTTATTGTCATCATCTCACTTCTCCTCATTAAAGTCTTCTATTTCACTCCATGTAAACTCCTGTGTCCTAGTGTTTTTATCACTATAATGAAAACTTGGAGTCTTGTTCAGCTTAACATGCCTTATTGAATGTAACTGAAGAGTCTTACCATTTTGGCTACAAATCATAAGAGAGGGGAGGTAATTGAGTTGTCTTACCACATTCTCCTCAGCTTTTTTTCTCCTAGTCCGACACAAAATCATTCAGGTGACTGGGTCTCTTGACAATTCTCTGAGATCGTCTCGATGGCAGCTGATCTGGGATTTCAGGAGTTATGAGAATAGTCAACCAGAAGTATTTCATCTCATATTGTTTTTATCACCTTCTGTGGTAGTATGCTCTCATTTTGATGGAGCTGTTCTGGTTTTGATCTCTGAATTGTCACTATGGGGGCCTTGTTCTTCAGGAGAATCCAATGGCACTATGTCGTTACTATCAAGCGGGAGAGATATTGCTTCAGAGGAGAGCTGCTCCTCCCTCTGGTTTGATAACTCACTGGCAGGGGCAAAATCTCTGAGGGAAACATTTGATTGTCTCCTGTCAGGGTGCTGGTTGCATGCATAGAGTGGATTTGTCTTGAGCAGGTCCACCTTACTTTCTTTGTTGAACATGGTAAAAGAGTACCTGGCTGTGAGAGCCACAAAGGGAAGGAGATTTCAGATGAACTTTGCCTTGGAAAATTTAAAATCATTTTGTGAGGTGTTGCATTAGTTCTTGTACACAACAGTGTTCTTATAGCATACAGAGCCAGTACAGTTTTCCATATTATGCCATTGTATCACTTGCAGTATCCTTTCCCTTGAGGATTGTACAGGGTGGCATAGGTTATGGCCAGTCCTTGTACCAATTGGAATCTTTTTGTTGATCGGACATAAAAGAGGTCCCATTATTTGTATGAATATAAGCTGGCACTCCCAATATTGAGAACAGTGAGCAAAGACAGTATATGACCATCTGGACAGGATAAGGCAAAAGGGAATCACAAGTACTCATCAATGACAGCAGATATTTGTTTCAGGATTTAGATGAAAGAGGGTTCTTAAAGCCTCTCAAATGGTTGTGTAGGCTTTACTAGGGTTCCTGGTTCAGGTTTGTAGAACCTTGGTTTTATTCAAGCACACATCTGACAACTGTTTGTTATTCATTTCACATTCTCAACTGAAAAAGGCAAATTCTGGCTTCAAACCACATGCATCATCCTCATGATGCCTGGATGACAGAAATCATTATGAACTTTTTGCAGATTTTTGGT